TCTTGATATGTACTTAGATTTTATGTTCCACAAAGATAAATCTTGATGTGGATATTTGCTTGATCGAGGAGGTCAAGAAGCTTTGAAATAAATAGCAAGGAATACTGAATCTTAATTGTGATCTTGTTAAATTCACAATATTACACGCAAATCCAAAGATAGCAAATTTTTTTACCAATAGTATAGTAACTTGTGAAATGAAGTCTTTTGTGAGATTTTTATCAAGTTAATATTGCAATCTAGGAATTCATTTTTGAAGCGCACCTTCTTGAAGTTTGATGTCACAATCATAAGGTTCATGATGAAGAAATGTATTAGCGTTACTCTTTTCAAACACTTCTTTAATTGCTCATATTTTGTTGGTAACTTGGTTGGTTCTTGAACTACTTGAGATGTTTGAATTGCATAAATTGCAAATATAATTCCATTCTTGGCAATATTCATAAAGTCTCGGACATAGAAAATCAACAGTATAATAAGCTCTCTCTGAGTCTCAGGTGAAGATAATGAAATTCGTTTTCATAATTCTATACAATTTTGATGCTAAGATTCATCTATTTGAAAACTTTTGTTGTTATTACACATGAATACATACATATATGTCTATCAATGTGAAATGGATAAGTTTAATCTAAATAGATTAGTCAACACATCTTATTTATATGGCTAGTTTGTTTCTATCATCATTCTTGTTTTTCTCGTTTAGTTGTGATTTGACAGACGCATCGAGGTAATGTGTGCATGAATGTAGATGTTAAATTATAAACTTACATAAGCTTTTACAGTCTGTGCAATATATCATTCTATAGAGCACATGGGTAAAATTTACTTTCGTCAACCTATTGCATTGATTTCCAGAGAAGACGAACTAACGCTACAACTAATTGCAATCAAATGTCGTAATGTCACATCAGAAACTATTTGATGGTTTAGATACTCCGGAATGTAGTTATCCTCACAATACTATCCCGAAATAAACCCCATTTACTTCACGTTTTATCTTTGAAGTGTTTGATGGATCTTCTCTTGTGTGCCAGACCTGCGGCATAAGCGGACATCGAATCGTGTGGACATCCGATCGGTCCTGCGCTCGTGGTTATGCGAATTCAGCGTGCGAAGGCTTTCGAGATCCCTCCCGGCACAGCATTGACCGATTGCCATTTGGAAGGAAGCGGGAGCCGAGAACGGTGGGGAGGTTCTCGAGCAACCATCAAAACCGCGTAAGCTGTGGGATGAGATTCTACTTCTGCTGCTCGTGGTGATGCCCGTGTGAAAAATCGAGACGGGAAGACATTCTGGCCGGAGCGAGATGTCGTCGCCATGAATCGGGGTCATCGAGAACACGGAGCCGGTTTAGGGTTTCAGAGCGCCTCGTCCGGATCTAATGGTGTGGATGGGAGCTGCGCATGTGTCGATGCATCGACTCGCTATGGACAGAAAAATGATATTTTAAGATGGGCTTCATCCGTGGGAAGATTAAGTTCGTCACAGGGCATGCATTTGCAGATGTAGGCGACATTGGCGAGCATAGGCCTGGAAGAGCGAGCGGGGTTGGATGCCATAAAAAACACTGCAAGAAGGTCCCAAAATCTCCGGCCACATGGCTCCCACAAAACGACATTACTCGCACGCGAGACATCTCCAGAGCTTCTTTGCACCGCACGGAATTATAAAAAATACGAAATACCATGCCTCCTTAAACACACAAAGGAGGTCATGATCTGCGCAAGCCGAGCGAACCTGTGGACTGAGGTCACGGTGAACCGAATCGCTCAGCTTGCGCATATGATGCGTCCAGACACACATACGGAACCCCGGCTTTGTTCTCGGCCATGTGGATTGCAAGCCACCATTGTCATAGTCACCTGCCAAAAAGCGGGAGCTCCTCCATGTTTTAACCTATGCGTGTCCGTGGGACCCCAGGACAGCCCTCGTCGGAACGACGCATGCACAATAATACAACTGTACTCGCAAATTTCCATGAGCTACTCCGCCCGCAGATTTCCATCGCATCGCACACTGCCGCCTCTGGCGATCCGCGGAGAATTGCAATCTAGCGCAGCCGGTCTGGTTCAAGCTCCTTGCAAATGGCGCTGTGGTGGTAGGTCACTGCCATGGATTGATGAGGTATGTGATGACATTGCCTGGTCCGGTCAAGTAGCAGAAGGGTCGGTCTCGCACGATCCTTCTGCTACTCCTCCCTCTCCTGCTGCACCTGTCCGTGCTGGTAGTGTCTTCTGAAGGCGGTGCTTGAAATCTCACCGAACCTCTGCAGCCCAAGGACGGCGTCTGATCTGGTCTCTTCACCATGAGTCAATTCTTTCAGGGCATGTTACCGAACGAGCGAGGAAGCAGAATGTGCCCAACTGTGGGGGCAAAGTCAATTGCTGAAATGGAGTTTTTTTGCATGAGCATTGATTTGGCACCGCTGGTCGTACGCATCTGAGCGGATTAGGAGGCAGAGGGCATGATAGATCGTCGAGCAGGGACCTGTTGGGCGCCAAGGGGAGGGAAGCTGCGAGGATGGTAGCCTTCTAATTGTGGAAAAGCATAGCGCCCGCAAGTCCATCGGGACAGAAGTCCATAGCAGACAGAGGGACAGAGTCGCAGTTGGTGACTAGGTGAGAGAAGCGCTAACTAGCATGTGGCAGTAGATTCAGATGTCGGCTACGATCGTGCTTCGCTGTCCTTGGCTGCCCTGGCTTTAGGAAACCGAGCTTATCGTCAAAATTACGAGCCACAAAACCACCTCCACGATTCACGACTCGGTTACGGTGCAATTCGAGTCACTCACTCACTCAATCAACGCCTCAAGAAACCTACCACCACTTATGGATCGCTTTTGATTTCAGAGAAAGAAAGAATGCGGGGGAATAAATTGATAAAATCACGGAAACTCAGTCAACCGTGTACGGGCGATCATCACCTACGCACTCACCACTTGCTGCATCAGAAGGATTGCTCTCAGCAGGAATGAAGGTTATGCAAGCTTTGACCCAGTACGCGCACCCATCCACATGACAGACAGATGCAGTGCAGCTGCATTTGAGTGTGATTCCGGCCACGCGATTCTTTCTGAACCGCACTGAACGAACGATCGATTGATCGATCGATCGAGCTTCTGTGATGCAAAGATGACCACGCGCTCCGGGCAGCTTTTATTCCTCCAGTCCTCCTTCAAGTCGTCGAGCTCGCCTGAGCTGCTAAGTGGACGGACTAACCACCACCCCTCTTACTGGCCTTTGTCACCCCACAAACCCAAAGCGAGGCGGCAGACGTGATTATTAGCAGTGGGTGGTAAGTGCCCCCATAACAGCTGGTGCCCGTGGCTCCGCAGCAGTGGTGGGAGCAGCAGGAGGCATCTCACCTGATCGGACCGACCGGACCCGACCGGACCCAGCCACATCCCGTCTCACTCGCAGATATGCAGGCTGGGATTCACATCTTTACGAGCGGCTCTGGGAACCGAGTCATCATCATTGTTGGCATCTGGGGGTCGAGTCCACCAGTGGCCGAAGGGGGATTACTTTAATGGCGATTCGCGAGGGCGATGATTGCAGTCCGGGCCGTGGAGGTCAGTCGGCCTGATGGTATCTTTGATGGTTATGAACTTTCCGAAGGATCAGGCTGAGCCTCATGAGGAGGGAGGGAGGGCGTCTGGGAATCAGAGTGAGCCTGCAATGGCATGTGAAGAGGTCGCGGCCCAGACATGCATGTAGGATCGGTGTGAGCAGATCTTCTGTAAAGGGGGCCACGCTAGGGTAGGAGTAGAGCACTCGAGCAGGGCAACAGGCAGACCGGACCATCGAGCTGAAAATCTCCCCTCAAAAGGCATGTTGAACGAGGAAGTACAGACTCCGAGGCTCGGTGATTGGACCGGACTGGCAGTTCGCCGGGAGGAGATGGAATGCACCTGCGCATATGCATCTGCATCTGCTGCCCGGTCAGATGCTACGCCCCCGGAAGTGTGTGGCGTATATGAGGTCATCCAATCTCGGGACTGCAGGGCAGAGCAGCGCAGAGCAGGGCAAGTGCAAGTGCAAGTGCAGGGCAGTGCAGGGCAGGGCGGGCAGGGCTGAGCCCATGCACAAGTATCGACTGCAGACTCAGAGCGCAGAGGGAGAAAGGGAGTGAGAGAGAGAGAGTGAGTGGGTACACCGTACCGCATGCACTACTCTCCGCTTCGCTTTCCCGTGTGCTACTTAGTCACTTTCTTCGTTGGGCAGACCTTTCGCATTCTACTACCAGTCAGAAAGACAATCGGAGCTTTTTCTGGTATATATCCATTAGCTGGTAGGATGATTGGATCTGACTCCCCCGATGCTGCCTGCCTGCAGCAGAAAGATAGCCGCGCTTGTCCCATCCCAGACTGCAACTCAATCATATCTCATTCTCGGAGGATCTCGCGACAGAGCCTTTTCTCGTGCGATCCACCACCTACGGACCCAGGGTTGCTCCTCCCCCCTCCCTCTCCATCGTCCTACTGCGTGACCGCCCCCACCCTGGCCTCCTCGACCACCAGAAAGCCCCGCCCTCCGATGGAAACTCACAGAAAAAGCCGTGAGAACTTGGCCACCAGGTCTCGGTGGCGTATCCCAGAAGACGACCAGGTTTTCGCACACTCAATGTGCGAAATCTGGCCATAAGATCGGGCCATGCACGCAGCGAGTGGCATACATGAGGTTCCAAGTTGCAGACGACGCTTTCAAACCGAGTCACTTGTGGTCAACAGATGAAGGGATAGATCGAGAAACAAGGTCTGGCGGAGCCCCGATCATTACACCCATCCACCTCTCCTCTGTTGCTTCACTATCATCACTACCACCGCCATCATCATCATTGTCATCATCACAATATACCAGACCCTCGCAGACCCAGAGACATGGGACATTCATTCATTCTACAACACACCTGAAGTGGTCAAATGTGTCGAGAATTGATGAGTGAAGTATGAACCACGAGGCAAAACTAGAGAGAAAAAAGTCACATGCAGAAACTCGACAGTGAGTGAGAGTGTGTAAAAGGAAGCACGGAGTGGACTGGATGGAGTGGTCGTCACTTTTTATTCTAAATATAAGAGAACAGTGTGGGAAAAGTTGGTTTTTACAGTATTGCAAGACTCTCCATGTACACAGGGAAGGACAAAAAGCGGGTGGCGGATTTTTACTAAGGTACAATATCGTACAGGCTGTAAATTACGGCATTATGTGACCATCTTCTGGGCCAAGCGTAAGATTCTGTCTGTGGTCTCGTTGATGCACAGAGAGAGGGAGAGAGACATGGAATTTTCCCTGTGATTCAATGTTCTCATCTCGAGCATGCATGCAGGCAGAGATCCCTAGGCCTCATGGCAGGCAGCAGTAGCAGTGGCGACCGCCTACAGGCTCGACCACGAGCTGGTGCTGGGGCTGGGGCTGGGGCTGGGTCTCATCTCCTCTCAGCTCAGAGCAACTGATATCGATGATTGATTGCAGGGAGCGATTAACTGTCGTTCTGAGCAGCTAGTCGCCCCCACCTCGGGAAAGCAAGAGGCGAATGCTTCTAGACATTTTAACGGTCCCTCCATGATAAACTACACGTACAGTAAACTACACTTCTCTCTCTTTCTCTCTCTCCCTTTCTCCCTCTGCAAGGGGGACGGGAGGGGACGATGAACGCCTAGCCGACGAGCCTCGTGTATGATGATGCCATGCCACTCATGGTGGGTCTGTCTCCGATTCCGCGTGAGTATTGTGACCCCAAGCCCGATCTCTCGCTCCTCCGCCTCCTCATCTCCGCCTTGTGCGGCGGCTCGTTGGCCCCACTCTTTTTCTTCTTCGTCATCGTCGTTGTGAGAGTGGAAGTAGTGGCTACTTTCGAGCGGAGAGAGTGATGGAACTGATGGGATCGGGAGGCGAGAGATTTCGAGAGTGAGGCCGAGAGGAGAGGCTCGTCGAAGAGGAGGAGGAGGAGGCTACTGGACGAAGACGAGGCTGGTGTGGCGAGGAGGATGGCGCCGGAAGCCGGCGGAGTCAAGGGGGATGCAGCCGTCGGGGGCGAGGGAGGGCACGAGGGCGCGATCGGCGCCACGGTGCAGCAGGAAGCGCAGGATGCCGGCGTACTTGAGCGCGGCGGCGATGTTGAGCGGGGTGGCGCCGCGGACGCTCTGGGCGTTGACGTCGGCGCCGCGGCCGATGAGGAGCTGCACCACGTCCTTGCGCCCGGTCTCGACGGCGCAATGCAGCGGCGTGTGGCCCTCCAGGTCGCGGCTCTGGACGCTGGCCCCGTGCGCCAGCAGCTCGCCCACCACCTCCGCGTGCCCCTTGAAGGCCGCGCAGTGCAGCGCCGTCCACCCGTACTGGTCCCCGGCGTCCACCTGCGCCCCCTTGCCCAGATACCTGCGCACCACCTCCAGGTCCCCCTTGCGCGCCGCCGTCAGCAGCCCGTCGCCCAGCTCCAGCGCGTTCAGCACCGCTCCCTGCAATCCCCCAGCCCACACGCGAAATCAATCAGCCAACGTCCACACGCAGCCCCCTCCCCGTCCTCTCAACGCTCGCTAGTCTCTCCCTCCCTCTCAGACCATCCATCCGCTCCGACGCCGGGAGGGAGGGAGAGGCAGCCGTCAGGAGAGCGCAATCAAAATCGCCCACCCAGCGTCCGCACGCAGCCCTCTCTCAACGTTCTCTCCCTTCAGCGGGAGAGACTAGCGTGGCGTCTGTCGGCCGCCTCGTAGGACGTAACGTATCTATCGAATTCTGCTGCGGACCCAGGGCGGATTTTTCCACGAGCTCCGTCTGATGGAGCTCGAATTCTATGACTATCCAGGCCGTGGCCATCTATCCTCGAGGTTCGTTCGAATAGCGAGGACGAATCCGCTTGCGCCCACGAGAGAAGAGCGAGCCCGCTTGCCGATGCTCTCTCTGCTGCAACGTTGACAAGCCGTCCCCGGCCCCGTCTGCGTCTGGGGGAGGAGCGCACTCACGGGGTGCACATTTCCTCCAATCATTGCGGATCGTCCGCGGGACGGGTCACCGGCGCACTCGGAAAAGGCTCCCCTCCCCGCCCGCTGTTGGACAAAATGCCAAAAACCTCGAGACTGCCAAAATTGACCACGATTTCCGTTCGGGCGTGCCCCTCGCTCGCTCACACTGCCAACCCTCTCGAAGCCTTTACGACTTACAGTGGCAGTGCTGCTGCTGCGAGTGCGGCAGCTTGGCCGATGAACCGCGTCCCGAGGTCGGTTGCTGTCAATCATCTCCACTGAAGAATCCTCCCGGAGAGGGGGGACGTTCGAACGTATGATCTCTATGTCTCTAAATGTAGCGCGGGCTCGACCGATAGAGGTAATAATAGCAACTAACGGTCGACCCCGGGCGTGCCCTGGAAATAGACTGTTGAGCTGCCGCTGTCAATGATTGACTGATTGCAACGGGACTGCGGGACTGCGGAACTGGAAAAGCCGACGCATGACGGCAAGTCCGTCCTGCTCATGATGGTGGCAAAGCTGCCCCGAGCCTTTTCCTCACCACGCTGCCGCTCGGAAGAACTCGATCGTTCGTGCCGGCTGCAAAGGAATGTAATTGAGCCGGGCTATGATGTGATTTCATCATCCCGACCGCGGCCGCTTAAATCCTCGAAGATAAACCCAATTTCCCCCGTGGACGACCGACCGACCGACAGACAGACAGACAGATCGACAGAACCGTCGATCCACACACCCAAAAAAAATACGAAGAAATCGAAAAACTGAAGATGGTGGCAAAATTGAGAGAAATTGAGAAGAATTGAGTGAGATTGCAAAAGATTGAGAGAGATTAGAAAATTGAGAGAAATGGGAGAGCACGGTGCTGCGGATGAATACGACGGAGTGGGGAAATAATACTTACGTGGCCTTTCTCGACGGCAATGTCGTAGGGAGACTTGCCCTCGAGGGTCTTGATGCTCTTGCTGGCGCCGCACTCGAGCAAGAGCTCGACGAGCAGGCTGTCGCCTTTGGCAGCAGCGCGGAAGACAGCAGTGCGGCCGTCGACGCTACGGGCGTCCTTGTCGGCGCCGGCGTCCAGGAGCATCTTGACGCAGTCGACGTGGCCCTCGGTGACGGCGGAATGGAGCGCGGTGCGGCCCTCGGAGTCGCGCGCCTCCAGCTGCGCGCCCTTCTCGATCAGCAGGCTCAGAATGTCCAGATGGTTCCACGAGGCGGCCAGGTGGATGGCGGTCCAGCCCATGAGGTTGCGCACCTCCGTGTCGGCGCCGCGCTCCAGCAGCGATTTCACCACGTCGGAGTGCCCCATGTACACGGCCTCCAGTAGCGCCGTCTGCCCGGTCTTACTCAGCACGTCCACGGCGGCGCCGGCCTCCAGCAGCGCCTGCACCATCTCCACGCGGCCACCAGCGGCCGCGATGTGCAGCGCCGTGCGCCCGCCCTCGTCAGGACGATTGGGCGCTTCGCTCTGGCGCTTGAGCAGATACTTGACGGGGTCGAGCTCGCCCCGGGCCACGAGGTGGCGCAAGATGAATGCGCCCGAGTAGACGACGCGCAGCTTGGCGTCGAGGAAGACGTGCTTCTTGCGCGAGGCGAACCATTCATTAGGCACGCGCTCCGTGAGGCCGCCGCCGGGCGCCATGGCGGATTTGACCAGGAACTTATCCTTGCTGCGCGGGAAGTGCTCGGGCATTTCGCTCTGCAGCATGAGGATGACCTCGAAGGAATACTCGCCCAGCGGCGCGATGAATCCATTTGGCGGCTTGACCGAGAACATCTCCGGCGACGTCGTCTGCACCTTGAACGCGACGTGCATCGTGTGCATGAGGTTCCTGAGGTTGATCGTCGCCCGACATTTCGTCCGCAGCTCGAACTCGATCCTCACCTCGCTCTCCTTCACCTCCAGCAGCCTGTCCATCCCCACTCCCCCACTGCAATTCGCTCCCTCCCTTTCCACTCCCCCTTCCCCCCTCTGCTGCTGCTGCTGCTACAATCCTAAAATCCTACAATCCTGCAATCCTCCCGGGGCTCAGCTCAGCTCCGCTCGAACGCGGCTTGGGCTCGAAATGGGGCCGTAATCAGTCCTCGTCGACCATTCGATTCGATCGTTCAGCTCGCAGCCACTGCGCAGCCTCCTCTCGCCCGAGACACAAAACGAACCACCGATTTCTCGAGCGCGCGCGGCCGGATTCCACACCATTCTGCGCCGATCCGGCGCATGGCCACGCCCCCTCCCTCCTTCCCTCCGCCCTCTCTCCACCTCTCTCTACCTCTCTCGCTCTCTCGCTCTCTCGCTCGCGCTCGATCTCCTCCTCCGCTCTCGTCTCTCGTTAAGCTTCGCGTGTTCTGTGGGTCTTTCTTCTTCCTCGCGGGCGATTATTATCAGCAAAAGCTGCTTTAATTTCTGCCACCTCTCTCTCTCTCTCTCTCTCTCTCTCACCCACTCATGACTTGACTTGGACCCGGCGACTTTTCAATGCTCCGCGCTCGCCTCTCGCATCGGCCCAACAGTGCGCTGCGAGTGAGTCTCAGTCACAGGGCAGCGAGCGAGAGGAGCAGAGCGCGAGGGAGGAGCAAGAGAGCAAGCAAGCGCTGGCGCTGTGTCTGGAGCGGCGGGCCGGCCTCCGGAGAGAGAGGGCGGAGCATAGGCGCACGGGGCCGCGGACGGCCACCGGTAAATGTAAGAGAGGGACGACGTTCACCAGAAGGCGAACCGGCTGCACCTGGCGTGAGGACGTGACGGACGGCTCACCGGGCTCGTCGGCAAAACCGTCAGCAGCCCGTCCGTCCGTCCGTCCGGTATGATCTGCCGCCCTCGTCTTTTCCCGCCCACCTGACTTTACCGCTCTGGAAATGTCCGTCAACGCAAAGTCCCCACCGGTGGAGTCGTACTCGTGTCGCTCGGTGATTGGACCGGGCGGCGAGACCGGCGCACGCTACCGGCGAGCAGCCCGCGATTTGGGTGCCCGGTTGTGCCGGACGGAGAGTTTCCACACCCCTCGGGAGGCTTGAGACACCGCTAAACCCCTTGAGGGCCCGGGACTAGCGACAGACCGACCGCCCGCCCGCCGACTGTTCGTTAAGCCGCGGCTGCCCCGAAGGGAACCGGGGACGGGGATCGCGCTGCGGATAACGTCTGTCCGCGTACGACGAGCAGAAGACAAGGAGGACGCTCCCTCATCATGTCCCGAGAACAAGCGGGAACGCAGGACTTATAGAGCCGGTGGCCGGTGGCCGGGTGCCGGGGCAAACGGGCCGCGCGTCGCTTGCCCGACCAACCCCGCGTGGAGGAAGAAACGAAGACCGCTCCTCGGCAAAGGTCCATCGCAACGTGCTACAGTCGGTCACCGGGGACCGAGCCGACGGGCACACCAGTCAGATCCGCGAAGCCCTGGGGCCAGGGCCCGATGTGACCGTTGGCCGGACACCGGGTGAACCACCCGAGGCTCCAAGGCATTGAATGAATTAAGACCCCCGGCCCCCTCCCCCACCCCACCCCACCCCACCCCACTACCCGCCCCAAACACCCCCTTGCCGTGGTTGCTTTCTGGTCGCCCCTCATTTACGAGGCCCGATCGGTCTAACTCTGCTTGGGGACCATGTCTTGTCCTATGCTGACAAAATGCGTTGGCTGCCTCGAACCGGAATTGATGGACGAAGGCTCGAGTGCACGGGGAGAGGGGGGCCAGGGGGCACGCAGAAAGAGAGAGAGAGAGAGAGAGAGAGAGAGAGGTTGAATTTCTGCCCCTTCACCTCGTCGATGCGGGGCACGGAGAGACCTTCGTGGAGCATGATGGTGTGGGTTTCAGGGGTCGAGTTCTCATCCCTGCTAGAAACAAAATTCTGCGCGGGGCAACGAGACTGCGAGCTCTGCATTTGCTATTGTAGAAACAGTGCCTGACTTCGGCGGGGCATGAAAATCCACTCCGAAACCGACAATGCCTTGTCCGGACTCTCGACCACTGTCCCCGCTGCTCGCCGTCTCGTTAGTATTACTCTCTTTCCAGCTCTCTCGTTCTGGTTTTCAGATCGCCCTACAGCTTTGCTTACTAACCTAGGGGGGGTGCCACAGGGGGGATAGCAACAAAGGACAGCCGAGCACAGCAGAGCAGAGGGAAAAGGATGGCCTTGTTTCAGCTGAAGCGAGTTTTGTCCTCATGGCCTCATCTTCCAGTGGCTTCTTTGTTTTACTCCAAAGCAGAAGTGCCACTTCTAGCGTGTTGTCTGTCTCTTAGTCCATAAGACTTCACGATCTGCTTGCTGATGGTCACAACATCCCCAACCTTTGCATACGCCAATTCTTTGTGCATCGCGTTTGATTTGCAATGATAGACTGTCTCTCAGCGTCTTATTCCTAAATCTAGGATGACTACTTCTACCACCATCAGTCCTAGAGTTTTGGCCCGACTGGGACTGGAGTCCAGGATCTGATGTGATATGCTGCCAGCGAGCTTCCAGCCTCGGGTAATGGAGAATTGGGCTGTGTACTACACGCTGATTGACTCAATCATTGAGATGGTGACAGTTAGTATACTGTTTGTGCATTCTTGCAGTATCTGCTTGTAAGATTGTCTAACAGGGCACGTTCAGGTCTGCGTTTATGACTAAGAGAATGGATCTTTCTGTTCATTCTTTTTTGGAGAAACGTCCCAATGTTCTTTTGTTTCTGCGATGGCACGTACTTAATTCATGGCATGTTTGAGTTCGATCAGAATTTGATTCTTCCATCATTATCCTTCCTAAACCCTTGGCCCCAAGACTTGTCTAGGCCCCGGCCTCCATGTGATGCCCAGTCATGAGACCTTTGTTGCAATGTTTATGAGTTATTATTAGTCTTAATTATCGGCATCATCTGCAAGGCGAGGTTATTGTGCAAAACAAATCGTCTTTCCTCCTTCAAACAACTGAGGAGAAACAATTACTAGTAATATGATTGTCATCTAAGTAAAAATTGCTCAATTTGAATTGAAAAAACATGCCGGTGCTCAATACGAAACATGTCTAAAGTTTCTTTCGAAAAATTTGGAAATGTGAAGATGGACAAATTTAAGATATCTTTACACTAAAATTTGATCCCCTCCAACACGTTATATCACCAAGGGTTGACAAGTGTTTGGAGATTACTTGGCACTGCATGATAATTTGTGTATTCTTAGTTCTGTATTAAGATATTCTTAAAACAGAGGGGGGCTCATATTTTATTGTGTGACTCACAATGCATCGGGTGTGTGAGCGGGTCCACTCTACAAACTGCGTGTGCGGGAAAAAAATTTAAAGATGCTAAATATAATATAAGATATAGTGTGTGAAATAAGTAATCTATGGTCCGCTCCACATACTAAGGAGTTTGGACGGGGCTCTCCATCGTTGTCCATATTTGCAAGGTTTATAATATTTACTGTATAATAAAATTCTCAAATGCCAGAGCGGTCAATCAACTAAATCAAATGATTGGTTTTGGATCATATATATATAGTATTAAAACATGGCCAAGACTAATTCAAGGAGTAGACCACAAAGGACAAGTCAAACGAAGCTGGTGCAAGCAAACCCTATTAGAAAACAGGTTTGCCCTTAATGATTAACCGAACTATGTGCATGAGCAAAATCGATCACAAACAGTAGAAAGTTTCAGCAGCTTAATCTGCTCCATTGTGGTTGAAGCTAAGCGACGTTCTGAACCGAGGTTAATGATCAAACGAGGATGAGTGTATACGCCACCATTCCGAGTTACGCTACGCATATACTAGATGGGTGCAACAGCAGCATCCTCTACGTAGGCCTTGTACTTGTCCAGATCCGCCCAGTTTGCAACTTTCAAGTACCGTTGTCGGTACTTGTACCCCTTGATCTATTCAGCATGTTCAGATGGAAATGTGAGAATATTCTCTCCCACTCGGGAAGATTCATGTTATGATGGAATTTGTTTCAAGGTTGTTCTTCGATGTGTCTCAATACGATTCTGAGCTTGATACCATTAGTGTGATTGGACCGACTACAAAGGCTTCATCGAACAAATGACCATCTTGCACTCAACATAAAATACTGCCAGGAGCACTGGATAATATTGTTCGGCCAAAATTTTATTTATAATCCTTTTCTTTTGATCCACAATCACTGACTGCATTTCAAAAGCAGAGAACAGCTCTGCGCTCTGGAAAGTCATGCACTGGTCAAACGGTGGAAAAGAGGAGTTGGATGCATAGTAGGTAATATTAATGGTGTGCATTGGCCAAGACTCATCTTTTACGTTACCACACAAAGCTTGATCTCATGTTATTCTGTTTCGAGCTGATTTTTCGAAGAGGCATCATACCATTTTGTGGATCTCCCTGGCAGAATAAGACATGATGATGAGATTGCTAACGAGTGACCTGAAAAAGAAGGCTGATGGTAAACCATGAGGAAGATGACGGAGCACATGAGCGCTACTCTGCGCCGACACCATTGAGCATTCTTGCTGTAAGCTTTTAAATTATAGGCGAGAGAATGTTCCAAAGCTCAGCCATTTGGATGCTCTAGGTGTGATTCCAGTAAAGCTGCAATTGCAGAGTTCGCGTGATATTCAGCTGAAGCAGGCACCTTTGCGCTCGAACTCGCATGGTACATCAAACTTAAATCTCAACGCTGACATAGCAACACCTATATATCTAAGAGTCTGAAGTGTGCACCCAAAATTTCAATGTCCTACAGTAGAATTGAACGGAGTTGAGCTTCGTACTCTCATCCTGCTTTATCCTCACCAACAAAATCCTCTTCCTCGTCAAACTACTTACACAGATCAACTGCCATCATCTCCTACAATCTTCTGTGCGTGAATTCTTCTGAAAAGCCCATGGGAACTTGTCTTCTACGTGCAGCAGTACGCGAACGATTTAGTCGACGTGGCAACTACAAGGAAAATCAACATTTGGTCCCAAAATGCGAAGATTTTGTGGAAAATTGTTAGCCTAACAAATGAATGACAAAACGCTACAACCACTTTCATCAGACAGTTCCAACTCAGAGATTGGATCACACACTGATCATCTACCGTAAACAGGCTGATCTACGCTTATTCCGAATCAGTTTCCAAATATCCAAATTCACCATTGTTAACCCAGTCCAGTAAACCCAACTGATAGGTACACTTGATGCTATCAAGTGCACCTATCAGTTGCTTCTAGCGATTTCACGATTTTGTATGAGTGAGTTGATGAGAGCAGTACTTGAAATGTGCAGATTTTGACGAATCTGATACTGAAACAATTAACACTGTCAATGGACGAAATGCTGTTAGAACGTTCGCCATGAATGGACAGTGTTGATTTAATTACAAATGGTTACTTGACATTTACATAAAACAAGACTTCACAAAATTAATCACTATCTTGATTTTACAAATGAGTGTGCAGTACACAAATCGAAAACTTCCAAAGAGACTTACACTTCACTCACACCCACCTGGAACAACCATAGGATGCAATGAGATGTGGAGTTATGAATATTCAACAGATTCAGATGCAACTGACACGCGAGACTAAATGACCTTAGACAGATGCGCGTTGCGTTCCACTGACTGGACTTCACAGGAATGAACTTGCTCACTCTTTATTGAGACATCACCAAGTACACCGTGAAAAGACCACTTCACTCATCCAAGTAAGAACTACTAAACCAGATTGAAAAGAAGTCGTGAAACACTATACATGAATCAATCGGCGCCATAAATTTACACCTTTTAATGGTCAAGGATCCATCTCAAAAATTTGTACAGTTCTCCGCATACAACCCTGGGCTACTGTCTACTCAACAGGGAAGGACATTCTTGAAACTAGCCTCAAGAGATCTTTTGAGAACATGTAGTTGGCAGCTTTAAGTGTATTGAACATCTAAAGTAACTGAACAGAAGTTCAAGTGCTACGTAATGAGCCCAATCTCGTGGGATTATTTACAACGATGGGGAGCCCACACAGGTGGGAGACGTAGCATTGCCATACACATGACAATAATGGTACACTAGAAACTAAACTCTGGTATTTGATGAATCTATCCAGAACTCTATGCACAACGAGAAGGTAAAACTACATCTAAAGTTCACCGCCTTCAGGATCAGACATTCAAAGCCCCTAGAACTAGAAGAGGTTCTAATCAGAACACTCCTTCCTCTTCGAACGCTCCTTCACTGCAGTGTTTATTATATCAGCAAATGAATTGTGCTGCTTCACAAACACTTGTAGCTACGCTATTTCCTACATATCTCACACCTCCTATATGCATATGAACTACACTACCAGCTGGATAATCATTATGCTCCACTGTGTGCAGAACCATTGAAAGCTGGTCTTTCTCAAGTCGTGAATAGATAAAATCTTCAATCCAAAGAGTTGGTGGAGCGCCAGAAATATGATGGTTGTTACTCCCTCGTGCGATACACTAAGACGCATAAGACTTTTACGACAAAGCTCTAGTAGAGACAAGTCTCAAAGAGTGTGTACAATTCCAGTGCACTCGCTCGTATTGTGCAGGGCTTCTCTAAGCACTTACAAAAGACTCCCACATGCCGAAGTGGGTGCTGAACGTTCCACCACCATGAAAAGTGGCAGCTTCTGCAAGGGCTTGACGTGCACATCTATCCCAAACGCCAGCCATGTCTTTAAGGGTGACGGGTGCAGCCAAAGCTCTTACCTCTCTTGTAAACTCATCTCGAGCTGCAGCAACTACAGAATAGCTGTACACACACACAACAAAACGTAGTTTATTTAGACTTCAGTGCTTGTCTCAGCAGTGTTGACCTCAACTCATAAACCCTATTCTCAAATGGCACCTATGAAACAGCACTTCATATAGCAAACAAGAAGCTACTGAATACCCCCACGCCCTGTACATCATGCTGGATTGGAAGATTCCATCGACTATTAGGAACCGGCATTACCAACGAAAAGATGAAATAGGACATATACAAACAAGTCTGGGATAAGATCTTTGAATTTTTGAAAATGCTAAGCAGAAAAGGCCTTCATATACCTGGCATTTGGAGCCATGTGTTCTGACCACACTATGGGCGAGCACTCGGGGTAACTTGGAGGTATAAGTAACCATACAAGGGGCAACGAGACCTGTAACCAGGATTTGCGATAAACAAAAAAATTAGATAGCTTGCAAGACCAGCTTCACAGTCCAACAAAACTGTCATTCAAATCCTTTAGAGGCACTAAGAACATGTACAAGAGATACTGTCATGGACGTCCCGTGAAAAGTAAAAGGTTTACCAGTTTATTCCGATGAGTGAAACTCGGACTGACAGCAGCACCCTTGTACGAACAGGTAACAACAACACCTTCCTTCCCTTGAGCTGCCGCCTCTTCCGTACCTTCTTCACTTATCTCCACTTCGGTGTCGATAAGCGTTTGATTGACAAATTTGATTTCATCTTTGACAGCTATGGGTACCTGTATCATATCTATTGCCTCAGAAAACGTACAAAAGGTACTACTGTTCCGAACAAAACCTTGTAGGAGGAAAGAGGTGATAAAGGAACAACGAGAAAGCAGTAAAGATGTAAATGAATTTATAATACAAACTTTCGAGGCTGACTGAATAATGGGGCATATGGAACGTACAGAACTTGAGTCATTCAGAAACCAGTGCTAATATCGCTCGAACTATAGGTCATCGAGAGATGAAAAAGTTATGTTTACATAAACACGAAAGGAGTTACGTCTCTCTCATATAATCTCTACACAGAAGTGAACCCACTTCAAGGCTAAAGAACTTAAGCCCAAGACAGGGCTCGAGTTGGTAATGACGAAAAACGAATTAGGAGGAAAAGATAAAGGTTATGAACGATAAACTACTTGTGAAAAGCTCATCAGTCTCGACAAAGAAGCACGACGAAAAAAAAATGAGCCAAGAAAACTAAGAACGCATGCATATATTCCAAACATCGGAAGAACTCTGAGTATGTTAACTTCAGTTCAAAATACTCAAATGTGAGAGGTGAGAAAAAAGTTCGGGCAGAAATTTCGAAGTTACCTTCATTCTCGGACTTCGAAGATTTGTCATAGTCATAGGCCGAGTCTCGGGGCTGTCAAAACTCTCTGCTCTGTGCAAGCTATTAGTCACTAACCCATTATACCCGATGAGGCTAAGCGCCACAGAATCCATCTGTCTCATTTTTTTCTTCACAGGACCATCTTGCGACATCCAGCCCCTTACTTGCAACCTTGCTCTCGTTATGGACGAAAGATCGTCCCCTACTGCGGCTCTCGATCCAATACCAGGAGCAGATGCTCCAAGTTTGTCGTGACAACTAATTACGGCATTCATTTCTCCAACTGCTGAGTCCAATACTCCATGTGACAACGTATCAACCTGCATTCATAATTTGTTTGAAGAAGATTACAACGAGTCGTGACGCATCTACCTCTCTTGAGAGCGTGGACATGGAAGTCCAGAAAATTAACAAGTATGATATAAGTACAGTAAAACCAACAACTAAAAGACTGGATTGCTCAGCCTTCCTAAACACTCAGTATGACCAAGATTAAAGAGTGATGGTTGAAATTATTTCATAACAAGTTATAATGATTCCTTCAGTCAAAATTAAAGTGGAGAAGAGGCAGATAAGTTCTTCTTATAATTTCTTTCCTACAGCACTTTTGAATAAATTCAGATCTAGAAAAAAGTCACTGAGAAGAAGACCAAGAAAGTAATACTGAAGAAGACTGGGAGAATGAAAGTAGGCAAACATGTAAACCTAGTTCATAACGAGCATCACCTGCAGAGCCAATATTGAATGGAAAGCAAGCCATAGAAAATGAACTGCCGCTACATAGAAATGCATGCACATATGCCCACTTGCAAAATAGAGCGCTTGCCTGTGTTAAGAGTCGCTCCAAAGGATCCTTTGCATTTGATTTGTCCAGCAGGGGCGTTCCAGGAGAAAACGCCTGTAACGCATCTTGAGGAATGGCCCTTGCGTCTTGTGGGCTAGGTGAAAAGTCAACCATAAGAGGGGAAACCGAAGGTCCTGGTGTTCCGATTCCAACTGAGACTGCACTACTTGGCGTTGCTGCGACTAGCTGAGGGGTCTGTACAGTGCCAGGTGTGGCAGTTGCTGGAGTGGAGGCTTTTAGGTCACCTTCCTCGTGAGGAGGTGGAGAAGCAACTGGAAGCAGAGAAGGTGAAGGCGTCCTAAGAGGAGGTGTGGTGGCCTGCAAAGGAGTAGCTACTTTGGAAACCTGTAGTGGTGTTGCAAAACTTTGGTGATCAGGTTGCGGGGACATTTGCTGTGTAATTGAGATCTGAGGTGAGGGAGATTGTAAAATTTGAGGGGATGAGACTAACTGTGGCGTCATTTGAGGTGACCCCACTTTGAGCTGTTGTTGCTGCTGCTGCTGCTGCTGTTGTGCTTGCTGCTGTTGCATTTGCTGCTGAAAGAGTTGTCTTTGCTTCATTTGCTGCTGCTGAAGTAAGACTTGTTTTGCAGCTAGTTGCCTCGATTTCAAGGATGTATCATTAGAAAAGTCTTGCAGTTGCTGCTGGCTGTGCTGACCATGCTGATGGGCATGCATCTGAGCCTGGACCTTCTGCTGCTGTTGTTGCAGCTGCTGCTGCTGTTGCTGTTGTTGTTGCTGCAGTAACTGCTGTTGTTGAAGTTGCCGTTGCTGGAGTTGTTGCTTTGCCTGCTCCTGATCTTTGAGTAAACGTTGTTGTTGTTGCACGTGCAGCAGCTGTTGCTGTTGCAAGGAACCAACATTTTGCTGCAATGGGTTAGCTCCAGGTTGAAGCAATGTATTCACGCCAGTTGGTTGCAGCACAGTGGCTCCACTTTGTTGTTGCAATGTGCTAACTCCGTTTGGCTGCTGTAAGTTACTAACTACACCTGGCTGTAGAGAGCTAGCTCCTGTTTGCTGTAAAGGATTCATCCCACTCTGAATCCCATTTTGCTGAAGGGTATTGGCCACGCTCTGCTGTAAAGGGATAACACTATTTTGCTGCAAAGTACTGATTCCATTCTGCTGCAATGCACTTACCCCGTTCTGCTGCAAGGCATTGACGCCATTTTGTTGCAACGTACTCACCCCGTTCTGCTGCAACGTACTTAGCCCACCCTGCTGCATTGCGCTTATCCCATTGGCCTGCAGCGATGTCACACCGCCTTGCTGGGGTGAACTCATACTGTTGCTTTGCAGAGATGTTGCAGTGGGTTGACCAGTATTAGCTCCATTTTGTTGCAAAGGAGGAATTCCCGATTGCTGCAACGTTGGACCCAAATTAGCTGCCAAACTGTTGGGCTGAAGGGCGCTCACAGTTGACTGGCCAACGCCCGGCACTGGCATTTGCTGCACATGCTTGTTATCCTGTTGTTGGATTTGCGATAAAAGCTGTTGTTGCGCTGGAGGTGGAGCCTGGCCGCCTTGCTGCTGCGGTGGTAAGGCTGGCTGCGGTGGTTGCTTTCGACGCTTAAATGTCTCCATAATGTTCACGATTTGCTTCTCAAAAGCCTCAACCTTGTCCTGATTGAACTCCCTTGGAACTCTCTCCTTCGGTACCGTCAAGTATGGAATCATGCGATGCAGAACATCTTTATAATGCTTCAGCTTCTGGAGCTGGTCAGGCGGCATCGGCTGATACACCGAATAAAATTCCTCTTTAGTATACAGAGCATATACGACGAACTATAAGTATAAATTGCGCGCAGATATGGCGGATACGAAATTAGCATGCTTATGAAACGATGGAGCCTGGTAACTCAACCTTGTTAATCCTGACGAGTCCTTTTAGTTTACCAGAATATGACTGGAAGTATTTAAGGCATAGAGGTTATGTCTGCAAAAATGCAAAGAGTTTACAATTGAAAAACGAGATATAATCAAAATGGAGGAAGCAAGACAGTCGAGAAGTCACCATCGTACTCCTCGTTGTCAACATGCCATACAATTCTTTCATATCTTGCAAATACTTGTCTTTCAGCACTTGCAACTGCAGGTCAAACACAAAACGAAAAAATGTATGTGTTAGGACATATCGAAAGAGAACACAAACCAATTTGGGTTGTATACTATGCATAATCATAAAAAACTTGCCTTGGGCCACACGATGTCTCGATGATCCAACACGGAAGCTCCGGCTGAATGTGTAGATGAATCCACTGATGCTGTGACAAAACCAACGGATACCATAAAAACCTCATACAATGCTCCATCAAGGGCATAAAGTGATTACAATATACTTATTTCCTACATAGTCGTGTATTACCGCATCCCAAATGCGTCATCTCGCGTTAATTCCCCAATGATGAAATATAGACCTCTATCAGACCCTTAAGCGACACAAAAAAACTAGTTAGTGATGTCTTAAAAAATGCACTATAAGCTGCAGGTTCGTCTTGCCTGATGTACCCAGAACCTAAATTTTAAGCATAAACAGTAGTACCAGTAGAAGCCTCAGGAAACACACGTTGCTGTTTCTGGTGCTGCTGAAGATCGTATAAATTGGGTTGTTGCTGATTCAGTCCACCTGCAAGAATTCCACAAGAGAATACAACTGACATATTGAAAACCAAAACTACGAAACCACTGCTTCACAAACATCAATTTTAAGTAATAGATAAGTCTCAAGTAAGAAATACACGAAGTAGCGCGTTACTGTGTCCATTGCTCACCAGGGTTCTGTAGCCTCTGCTGTTGAGCTTGTTGAGCCTGCTGATTAACAGCTGGTTGCTGTTGAAGCTGCTGTGCTTGCTGAGATGGGTTCGCTTGCTGCGATTGATGGGGTTGCTGAGATTGACCCTGAATGGCAGATGGCTGTTGCTGCTGTACCTGATGTTGCTGCAACGGACATATGCCCCCCAAAAAAAATCAGAACTGATACCTTCGTCACATGTATGTGTAAGGAAATTGTCAAATGCTCTAGGGATCTGGATATACTGATCAATATTAACAATGTATGTTGGAAGACAGGAAAGAACTACTTCAACGGCAAGCAAAGCAGAACGTCAACTAGAGAACATTCACAATAACACGCTTGTGAAATTGAGGCATAATCATGTTTAATCATTGAGTTGAGTCAATTTACAAGGAGACAGTGCACCCATCAGGAAGAGTTGTACAGCAGTAACGGTCATGGACAAGAACCAGATGCCTAGCTAATTTTCAGGAATCAAACTGACCTTGTGATCCGTACTACACAAACACCTCAGTACTATGGACAATACTCCCAGGCACTCATGGAAAGTTTACGGGAATGCTGTGTAAACACCAAAGATGCAAAGCATCTATACTCAAATAAGCCTACATATTTCTGGAGGTCCTAAAAGCAAACAATGCATGAGGCTCGCTCACTGGTTGTTGTTGTTGCTGCTGTTGAGCCTGTTGCTGCTGTTGCTGCTGTTGTTGCTGCTGCTGCTGCTGCTGCTGCTGCTTAGCTTGCATGAGTTGCTGCTGATGCATAAGCTGATGTTGTTGCTGTTGCTGCAAAGTGGGTGTAACATTGCCGGCCTGAGATATTAACTGATTCGTCGGCTGCTGCTGTTGTAAAGTAGGCACCTGAAAAAGTGTAAGTATATTCATTAGTATTTGCCTGTCAAAACCTCAAACGGAATAGATCCACGCCCCGTCTGAGCGGTGCTAGTGATAAATAAAAAATACGGAGAAGAAGTAAGATGGGAGGTAGAGGGAACCAGAAAACTGATGCAGATTTGGAAGGCTTTAATAGTGGAATTTAGTCCTATCAAAGAGGTCCCTCCCAGTCTTTCAGGTGTCAACACAAAAAAACGTTCATTGACACATGACAAACCAGAAGCTTTCTACTGGAAATCAAATCTTAAAAGATCCGAAAATACTTCTGGTTCAACCAGCTGAGGTATGTTTCCGTAATGTCACTCTTATTCTATCCAATGTGCAGCAGGTAGCCAGAAAATAAAATTTATTTTCGTCTACAAAAATTTGCAGAACACTTGGATTTAAATCAGAACTGTTTGGCTCGTATAGTTGGATGTGGTTCGTTCAATTTTAACACAGGCAAAAGAAGGGAATCATTTACAAGAGAGCAAACATGTTAAGCTGTAAATGTTAACATGTCATGTTAGTCGATGTAAATGTGAACCTAATAGATATCAGTTACAATAATCCGCGATAGTTTTGTAGCACCGTTTGAAATACAACGTTTACAAATGACTGCCTTCAAGCTCCTCAGCAACGACATACAAACACCAGCTTGCCGAAAGCTACGGAAATGAGAAGTTCTTGAGCACACAGTTATCAAGAATACACGTGGATATAATGATTGCCATTCAATGCATGTTACAGTTGATAGTAACCAATTTGCTGAGTGGTAACTTCTCTCAATAGTCTCATTTGCATCAAGAACTTCCTCTACGCAATCTTGACAACCCAGAACAGTACTCATGAGCATGTCAAAAAGGAAACTTAGAGTTTTGATGGATCCACTATGGAGAAAATGTCGTTTTACTCTCGAGGACCTGTTGGGTCTGTTGGGAATAATCGCAAATATGAAAACCACTACCATCTTGTGAGGAATACTCATTAAAAATATTTGGCAACTGATACAGATCATCAACAACAACATTGATCTCAGCATCATCTTTTTCTGTATATAAGTCATATTTTATTTATAGCTTTGGCACCAACAGGTAACTGCCAAGCTAGATCAATCTAAATGGTGACCCCACGGACGATCAACTCTTTAGTACCTCATCATTTATTTTACTGAGACTTACGTAACAGAAGACAAAAAACGGATCAACGTGTTTCTATGTAAGTACTGCGACTAGAATTACTGGAAAGATTCTGTGAAATCGTGAATTCTCCTCCGGTGCTCAAACGCAAATTACACACCGATTAGTCGATCTGGCAGGATACTCTATACTTGATAGCAAGTTTATTCATCGAGCCTCTGCTCAAACCAACCTAGATACCATAATCAAGTTGGTTCAAAACACTAGGGACTAGACACTTTTGTTCATGTAAACCGAAACCTTAGCCTGCGGATTCGTCATAGAACTGAATATTTGCTGAGTATTAGTGTCATTCATCCTTCAACTGCGCGAGAATGGCATGTGTCAGAAGATATTATATTCTAACCACCGCAAAGTTCTGCTAAATACGACGGTGATATAAAGCACTTGTACAGAACACGTTGGCTGAACATTCAGCGATCAATGATAGTCAAGTTGAGAAAAAATGAATCCCACCTGCTGTTGCTGCTGCTGCTGCAAACTCTGCTGTTGTTGCTGCAGACTCTGCTGTTGCTGTTGTTGCTGCTGCTGCTGCTGTTGTTGTTGCTGCTGCTGCTGCAAGAGTGAATGTTGCTGCAACTTAGCCTTCATCATCTGCTGCTGCTGTTGTTGTTGTTGTAGCCGTTGCTGGTAGATCAGCTGTTGCTGATGTACCGAGGGCTGAATTAGATAAACAAAAAACCCAACACAAATGTCAAAGTTCGGTCGTGTACGATTGGTTGCATATGCAGGTCACCAACGCAGAATATCACATACCCAGATTAGGCACAGAAAAGCAGCTACTTCTCAATACATTTGTGAAAAAAAACTACATGATCTCGTATTACGGTTTTGAAACCAGCCCAATGTTCAAAAGCCCTTTTACCTCACTGCTGTAGCAGAGGGGCTTTTTAAAGCCTAGTAAAGAGTTACATGAACGAATATTTCGAATACATTGGTACAGGACTGTACTTTATAATGGCGAGGGTATTCCACAAAAAACACCCTTCCAAGAGGATATTCGTGAAGCAATTGAGGATAGTATGAAAAATGCGGCTTAACTGAAGCCTCATAGTATACGCTTTGAAGGATTACAGTATGTAAGTTCGACCACGGGTGGTGACACGCAAGTATTTATTTACTGAAGTTGGTCTAACCCAAAAGAATTAATCCCATTTCAACATTGCACCAACACATCAGATTCAGATTTGACGTTCTCTGCAGAGCCTGGCTAAAAAAGTCAGCGCTGGACAGTAAACTTCACCGGCTGTTGCTGAGGCGTTTGCTGCTGCTGCTGCTGCTGCTGTACCCGTTGCTGCTGAATTTGTTGCTGCATCCTTTGGGCATTGAGAAAGGATGCATTCGGATGTGCACTATTAGGACCCGAGTTGGTTGTAAGAGTACTTTGAGGCATTCCACTCATGTTGGATAGAGTTTGACCAAGCCCGGTGGCATTTTGGAGCACATTTGCGTTGAGGTTACTCTGTAAAGATTGCGCAGTCATTACAGATTGCGCTAGCACCTGCTGCCTCTGTTGCGCCTGCCCACTAACCTGCCCAGGCATTTGAAGTCCATTGCCCAGGCCTTGAGACTGATTTTGCATGAGTAACGCTCCTGCAAAGAAAGACGAAAAAATTGAAAACCTCTGTAAATCGTATCACACCATTGAAAACGGGTGAGAACAGAGACATCAAGTGTTTTGAGGGTACTCTTACCTGAGTCCAACGGTTTTACACTACCCTGCTGCACTCCTCCTAGTCTTGTCATGTTGTTCGTAGGAGTTGCTTGTGCCTTCGTTTCCAAAGAAAGCATCTTGAGAGATATCCTCCTCAGGTAATCTTGCTGCGAAATCAGGGACATATATTTCATCAGCCTAGTCTCTCCAAAAGCAACCTAAAGCCTTTGCAAGCTGCCAACCAAGAATCGGGTGCAGTGACTTGGACTAATGTGAGATTTGCTCAGTATAACCAAAGAGAACAAAACAATTATCGTAACCTTTTGTAGACTGAAACGGCAATCGCTGATGTAGTGATTAGAAGAGTAAACCTAGTGCCAACATCTAACCATGACTCGTCGCGGTTTTTCAGGGAAAATCCTTGGCTCTAAGATTGCTGTAAATGATGTGCCCGACTAACAACGATGAAGTGTACGATAGAAGCTTTGACACTTACTTATTCCTAAGTAAGTGTCAAAGTCTCAAGAAAGCTACTTGGGTGCTCGGTACTGCTGAATGAGGAGGGAAAAAAATAAATAGTTAGATAAATACCTGGTCCGTCGCTGCTTGGTAAATCTTTTCCTCAAAACGCCAAGCTATTTTCAACAATTCCCCCATACTTTCCTGCCCAGTAGGCGGCATGTGTCTTTGAAGAGTATCCATTCTGCAATGGAAGGTATACATAGAAGCCGGAATTTGAGCCACAGAACCGTGAAAATTTTCGAATAACCGAAAATTGGTGAGATGAGGGACATAGATTGCTAATCTCTTGTGCACAACCAGCAAAAAACGTAAACTTACATGCGCTTGACAATCTTCTGCCTGGAGTCATGAGGAAGTAAATTCCTCCAGTTGCTACTATCCATTGGAGGCAGCCCGTCAATGCTCGCGAGGTGTCCTTCGCAAGATAACTTTCAAGATAGGAATTGGATTCAGGAAGACCTCATAGATGTAGCTGAAAACAGTAGGCCAAGGGAGAATGTCACCAGATCTCGTGACCCCAACCGCGATATATTGTCAGTGTCAATCTGCGACGCAAAACATACTAAGGTAAATGTTGATTCTTGGGCACGCAAGGTTCAAGAGCAAAAAAGGACGTGCAACAGTTGGGTAACGTGGCATGATTTTACGCATACCCCTGATAACAAACTGGGCAGACCAAAGCCTTCGTACCGTCGATATCCACTTCTTTCAAGTGTTTCTTCAACATACCATTTCCTTAAACTTAGCACCCGGTGCTAGATAATCTTATCCCCCTTCAATTCTTTCACCACTTGCTCGCCTAGTCTACAACGCACGTCCACAACTGTCTGCCTGATTTTGACTTCAAGCTTTCCTGGTCTGCTGCAGTGTGAGGGCTTTATCTGCTGCAGTTTAATCTCCCACGCGAATTCGAGATGACAAGTAAAACTAGCATTTGTCCAGGACGGTTGAGACAATTTCTTAAAAAAACTAACCTTCAATACAGGTCGTCCTACCGGAACGCTTCCAAACGGGCACCGACGCTGGCAGACGAGGGTCCTAGCTAAAGAGCTCTGAAGTCGAAGCAAACCCTTCTTCGTGAACCAGACTTTACGAAGAGAGGCGAAGCTTGGAACTCATGTGTCGCCTGCGACTAATCCCGCCGAAACGATTCAGACCATTATCTGCCCATCTTCCTGCCCCCAAACTGCACAAAGCCCGCCTTAACCCGACGACTATTTATGCGCAATCTACTTGTGACGCTCCACAGTCCACTCCACTGCAAGTCTTGCGGAAGAATGGCAAAGAGCATCCCGGCTCTGCAACTCCTGCATTGACCAGCAATTGAGCGACGTCCTCGGCTCCTAGCCTTCCCTTCCCTTGTAGCACCCGTTTCTCCTCCTCTCGCTCGAGAAGCTCGCTCGTCCGCTCGGCGCTCGCACAGAACGCTCCAAAATCAGTCGCGCTCCTCAGACCTCCTCGACCTCCGACTCCCCGGCTCCCTGTCGCGTCGACCGAATTCGACCAGCAGCAGATCGTCCGCTGCCCTGCTCTGATCGCGACTGCGAATGCGTGTGCCCGCCTCTCTCTCTCTCTCTCTCTCTCTCTCCCCTCAGGCTCGCTCCGTGTCCCCGCGCAAGAAAGAAGTAGCACAAGGCGCACGGGCAATCATCAGAGCCTGCAGTGTCATCGACTGTACCGTGAAGCGGAAGGAAATCTCGGGCCGAAAAGGCAGCGTGATTGTCCTCCAAGCGTCCCAGCCCGAAATTCCATTGTTTAAAGCAACCCTATCAATAATGAAATGATCGCGCCCGCTCTGATGTCACATTCGTCTCATACTGAACCACGATCTTCTCTGTTGCCTTCCGTAGCCTTGTACAGGTTGACCGCCTCTACGGTAGGCGCCGGACCCCGCGACCACCAGCTATACACTTTGCCTTCTGTACATTCTCCGCTCGTGCCCATGGGTTTATTCCTTGCAGTGTAGAGCCAAATGTGGATAAGATTCTCGTCACATATTTGTGTAGCGAATGTCACCCGGCCCCCAGAAGGAAGAGGCCATTCTGCAATATCGATGGTTCCCATATCACATCCGATCGATTTGCTTGTGGTTTCGGTATAATGTTACAAATTGGTGCATCGTAAAAAGGGGAGAGGAATCACTATCGAGCTATGTGATTGTGTTCTCTCACTGCTAATATTATTTGTGGAGAGTATAATTGCAGTACAATGTTGGATGTATATATTTCATTGTAATAGTATTATGACTAGCCCTGATTACCCGTTTGGTTTCCTCCCTGTAGAATGAACTTTCTAACCTTTTTCTCAACCACTTGGTCCTCATCTTAATTGTAAGAGCGTATATCCCTTTTTGAATATCCAAGTGCTATGATTTGGTCAACTTCTCACCATGCATTTGCTACATATTTGATGTTTCTTTCTATAGGATATTTTCAAAGACATTCATTAAAAGTTTCAATATATTGGCAATCAACATAATGGATAGCTTGGCAATCTCATAACTTTCGTTTTGCTTTCTATTTGGGATTGAGATAAATTCATCCTTTAGAATATATGTGAGCATGTGAAAAGATAGATCATTTTCGTACATGTTTAATTACTCGGGATGTTTTTTCTTCCCCTAAGTCCGAACTTAAAAGTCCATCTTCTTACTCCTTGACTAATCCTTAACTAATGACTAGAGTGATACACCAATAAATATAATAGTCTCAAAATTATCTCGTCGTGGATTTGATCATTCATCATACTTCTAAAGCTTGGTTCTGCTCTCGATATCACCAAGGTTAAACTCTTAGATCTTACCTTTACCATCCATCCGTCCTAGTCATTCCAATTCACGCCATCTGCATTTCATGTTGATAAGGTCGTGCATCAGGTTTGTCCACCCACAGACACAAAATATAATTATCTTCATGTTGTACATGCGAGATTACATTACTCGTTACTTTGATAAGAGTTCCTGAACCCATGGCTTTCTCCCTTTATGTTGATATCGGTGCCGCCGCCGAAAGGGAGGTTCTGGAAATGCTTGCGTTAACAGAAAACCGCCAAGTCCGTGAAGACTTACCGTCAATCCGTCGGCGCGGCCGATACGTAATAGAAAACGAGCTCACTTCGACTCCGTAGACATTTACTTCCCCTGTGGTCGGTTGACCATTGCAGTGTCTGGTCACGGTGGGGGCTAATGTGCACCTTCCAAATGGTCTAGTCATGAGGCTCAAGGTTCTGACACACACAAACTCTTTATTATTGCCTTATTTCAAAAACCCGGCGGAAATGAACGAGAATCGAATACGGGGTAGTTGAACTGGTAACGAAAATTTAGGGTCGGATCCTGATCCTGTCAACGAACTTAGTGCCGGATTTCGATCTGGAGAAAACCGAACTCTGTTGGACAGATGCGGCTGGCTCCCGGGAAAAACCGCGGCGGCTCCAAAAGTTCCCGATAACTGGAGGGAATTTTGCCGGGAAAGGCAAAGCCCTTGCCCCTGGGCTGTTCTGCTCTGATCTGTTCTGAATCCTCGATCGTAAAAGCTGCTGTACTGATCGTCAGTCGTCCCCGTACTTGCCGTAATGGATGGGACATAAAGTGAAGTAGCAAAATGGTGGACATGCTGACATGGATGGATGGATGAAACCAGTCGGGTAACCTGATACTGTGTCCCTATACCATCACAATGGGCGGCAAGAGCATCCAAAGATCCAGGAGGTTTCACGTTACGATCATTAAACTTCTTGCTTCATATGTCATTTAATGATAAAAAAAACTTTTTAAACAAAATTTACCGTCGAATATGACAAATTCAAAACCTTTTGAACCTTAGTGATCATTGATCCACAAAAAAAAAGTTCACTGATCACTTAAAATTTTTTATTTTTTGAAAACTGTCAAATATGACAAATTCAAAACCTTCTAACATCAGAATACAAGGAAACTTGAATAATCATTTGATTTTGTAAGCTGTTAAGCAATATAAAACAATCTGCTCAAAAACTTGGAGAGGCAAAGAGTTTTATATTATATATGATTTTATCAATCTTAGGTTATGATAATAGTCAATCGTTATTCATATAAATTATATAATTTCAAAATGTATAATTGATTGAATCTGATTTTTTTCATTTTGCAGGGTTTTAAAGTTTAAATATTTTTTCTTTAATTGATTTATAGCTCATGATGATAAATATCTGTTAATCTATTGATTGTATTATACACATAGGAATCTTCACTTTTATCAATTGATGAAATTTCAATGAAGAAAGTAATAGAATCAATGAAAGATAATGAACTCAATGGTGATAATTATCAACATCATCCAAATTCTGATCAGCGATGATTGTGATAACTATGATGATAGTAAGTGCAAAAGGATTGATCATAATTTACACATAATGCAAATTTGGACAAATAAATAGTGCAAATATTTGTGGTGTAAAATACATCATTAGATTTATATATTATAATCTATGATTGATATGACTTTTTTTCAGTTCCATCTTTGAGTTGATGAGCAATACATAAATATTGTACACCTTATACATTAATTGCTATCAATCTTTTAAGTTTCATGTTTGCTAATAAAATATCATGAATGACAATAATTTTTATGATTATAATATCAGAATAAGCAACAAAATTAAAAAATAATGTTATATGTCTGAAATATATGTGGTGATTATGGATAATGGAATATAACCAGGCCTGAGTAATAGTGGCAATTGTGCCAAAAATGCAACCTAGTGCCACTATTAATACTTGCCAGCATGCCACTATTAAGGATCCGTGGCGCACTCCATGAAATGTTGTGCAACCATGATGACGGCGCACACTATTGATTATTCCATTTGTTGGCTTGTGCTCAGCTATGCATCCAAAGAAGCGAAGTACATCATTCCAGAAATGTCATGATGTGACATGCGGTCTACGGTTGACTGATGTTGATCCCAAGACGAATTTGGTCTGCAATGTTGTTTGTCGATTTTGTGAAATTTTTGGAAGAAAGAAACAACTTGGAAGGAAAAGAAAGGCAGCGAGGAATGCCTAGTACTACACAACTCCATTTAGGCATGAGAGCTACCGCAAGCACAATGAGACACAACACACATCCAACTAGAGAGAGTATCAAGCACTTGCGTATAACAAGAAGGACAGCTCTTTTGACGGAGTAGTGACAATCAAGAGTACTCTCCTCAACCACTTTAGGTTGGAAACTTCACTGCGGCTCTTCGAAATTGATGGCTATTGTCGACACGATCATTGGCAGCATGTATTTTGATGTTGACCATGAGTCTAATTTGGATGAAGAAGCATATGAAGTGGAGATCGTTCTCTGCAGAGATGGTCGCCGCCGTCCAGACCTGACGCCTTTTGAAATCCAGAAGCGGGCTTTGACTATCTTCGTTCCGGTCAAGGATTCTTCTCCAGAGAATAATGAAAATGCTGATGTTGTTGCGTACAAGATAGCGATAAAAAACGGCTCCTTGTTTGACATGGTCATCGAGTTCACTTCTCTTGGATCATCGTTTCGCCTCACTTCTCGCCTTGCTCAGTTGACAAAGGAATTCACATGAATGGCTTGCAACTCCGGTTGCAATCGTCGCAAGGCCTCATCGTTCCTTCGAATGATATGCGCATCAAACATGCATATGCTTTCTGACCTTCTTACCAATTGCTGGGCTACTGTCTGATTGCAACCGTCGCAAGATCCCATCGTTCCTTTGAGTGATGTGTGCATCCAACCTGCAGATGCTTTCTGAACTTCTTACCAATTGCTGGGCTTTTTCGCTAGCATTTGGTAAGGCTACATACCAAAGCACATCCTATCTTAACATTCTGGTTCGCTTTTGGACAAGCAATGAAATCCACAACTTTCACTTGCTAGCTCTGCCTAAGAACTAGCGTTACACAGAACAATCAATGTTCGACACGATCGCGAAGGTGTTGGATGTGATTCATCCAGGCTAGAGAGACTCCTTGATTTGCGTTGCGACCGATGAAACGAGGAACATGACTGGTCCGCACGTCGGTCTGTTGACCTTCTTAGATAATGCCACTGGGCTGAAGTTTATCAGAGTCTGGTGTGGTGCGCACCAGCTTGACCTCAGCATGGCCGACGTCTATCAAAACTTGCTCCAAGACGATTTCTATTCTGTTCTAGTGGCCCTTATTGACTACCTGCGACGCTAGCAAAATCTGATTGATGAGATGAAGACGACATGCCCGAAGATTGACATCACACGTTAGCTTTTTATGATCAAGGTCATGACATGGTTCAAGAAGCACAGGATCGTTGTTCAGACGTACTTGGACGAGAAGCTCTCGCCATGTCGGCCATTTACAGCCTGGTGTATGCTTATGATGATAGTCCATCATTTTGCACAAGAAGCGTCACTGGTGTTCATGCGCCTCCAAGGCATGATGACTTTGATGTGTCAGCAAGTGGTCGAGCTGTCTAACCTATCGCAAACGTTCTGCCGGTTGGTGGGGGGCAAAGTACCACTACTTCGATCCGAGTTGCAAGCCATGGCAGAGGCAACAGCTGATTATAGTGGTAATGTCGCGACTGGGGAATTTGCAACGCCTCTTTCGAACGTTGAGCAGTTTGTTCGGAGCCTTGGAACTTTCATGTCTGCCAAGTTCGACAAAAATTCTGCCGAGAAGGGCGCGCAGCTTCACGTTCTTCGACTTGTTAGTTTGGCGTTTCTTTCAACGGCTTTGCAGCTTATGTCGATCACTATCGAGCGAAACAATGCCAATAAGCAAGCTTTTGCCAATGATCAGCTTTCACCGCTTATGCTGCACGAGCTTGTTAAGTACATGCAATTACAATTTTGTGTCACCGTTAGCAAGCACATCCTACAATTGCAAGCAGCCAAGTTTATACCGCAGCTGATCCAAGACATCCAAGAAGAACACGGAGAGCTTATTCGATGCTACCATGCCGAGGAATACTTGAAAATAGCAATCGATGCATACGATCACAAGATTTTGTTTAGGGACGGTTGGGGTCGCCTTGGATCACGATTTTTGACTCTGTTTGAGTTTGCAGAGGCTTGGCTAAGGTCTTTCCCAACACTTTAACAGTGGAGTCAAAGTTCTCTAGGCTGAGGCGTGAGAAGGATATTTTCAGTCATAGACTTTCTGATTTTGGGCACGAGTGTGTACTCCATGCCCAGCAGCACAAAGTGCTGCTCAAGATCACAATGAAAAACTGATGGTGTTGCTCTTTATATGGAATTTGTGTAGTGACACTTTAATGCCACTAATAAAGATCTGGACCTGCCAATATTAGCTTAATATCAGTACTAGTGTCCAATGCCACTACTACTCATGCCTAAATAAAACTAATCATTGCTTTTGCATTGTGCAAAAGTTTTTCATTAAAAATTTATTCAAAACATATTTTTTATTTGATGAAGAACATGTTTTTTAAAATATTTGATATTTTAACGTATAATTAGTAAGATTAGGAAAAACATAAAATATAGGATTGATAAAATGAAAATCTACGTTATTAAAAAGATTATTCCAAAAAAAATTAAATGAGAAGAACTTGTTTAAATTATATTCAAAATTAATCACAAAAATTTTAGATTGTGTTCTATTTTAGCTTTGCATTATGTTTATCAATTCATCGACAAATAGAATAACCATCCACCAAACTTTGGTAAAACATTTCATTTATTTAAACCTGATAATTTTCTTACATTATCAAATTCATACTTTTGGAATATTACATTCATTTTCTACACGTCCACAATGACACTCCACTCCTGTACTTCCATTTTGACTTTGATCCATTGTGTGCATTATCTAATATTTCAACCTTGCTGCACTCTCCAATTCTCAGTTTCAAAAATGCCCATTCAAAAGCGCGGTCGTGTCACGTTTGTACTTGGCGCTAACTACTATGTATGCACAAACCTGAAGGCACTAAGCTAAGGAGGGATGGTGCTACATAAGTCTTGATATATCCTAGAGGTAACTTGAAGCTTTTAAAACATAAAAACTACAGATACATTTTTAAATAAGTTTTTCAGTATTACAGAATTCAGGAGTACATTCTGCGCACCATTTTAGCGTAATATATATATAATACTTGAGAAACCTCTTCTCTACGATGTTGGTATTACTGTACGTCTCAACATTCAAAAGTTTATTCGTCCCGAGACTTAGTTTAAAATATTTTACTGCTAGTGGCTCTCCTAACACCATAAGCACAAGTAAGTACGTAGTTAAGGATGCGGCTATATATATTGTAACGAAATCAAAACCATAACTTCAGTGGTAACTCAGGTTACTTGAACTATGAGGCAGGGAAATGCATGTGCCGTGAGTCTATTGAAGCCGATAGAAGACCTGACTCCTTCAGGACAAGGGCTGAAGTGAGCTCATGTGAGGCGCGAATTCCTTGTGTGGACAGTACAGAAGTGAAGTAAAGTGACTTAAAACCCTGGCATTCTTAAAATTTTCAATCTCACATTTGTTGGCCTCTCGGAGTTTTTCATCTTGCTCACAATGGTGCACAATGCAACAGGTTCAATACTTTTTCTAAACATTGATAGAGGCCGATCTTCGATATCAAGCATTTTGGAAGCTCATATTGTCTCGTCCAAGCTATGTGTTCAACTCAATGAGTGTAGATAACGGTAGTGTAAAGTGTCAATGAGGCGTACTTTATCCTGTACATCAAGAGATATTTGGTTCAGACCACCTTAAGTTGGCTTGGGCTGAATTATATATAACATTTGAAACTCTAGAAGGTGGTTAGATCTGCAGGGAATACAAGTATTATACTCTCAGAAGCTTGTAGATGTAAACTTTCTACAGTTTTAGGCCAGACCTAAATTGGATCCATCAATGCCACTTCCAAAACACCGTTGACGATCTTCTCTTATAGTAAGCAGTTTTGATTGAACCATTTCTTCATGAACGCTGCTCAAGCCTCAATGACTTCCACCTTGTTAAAATTTTCCAACGAAGGACCATTTTCAGGAATGAGACAGATGGCAGAATTTAAACCAAGGGAAAATACACAACTGTCAAGGCTCAGCGTTTTACCCATGATTCCACATGCGCAGTAAGGGACAGTACTTGGTGCCTCATGATGTCAGCAGCCGAGAGCTCCTTCCTGAAAATATCTCATGAACGACAACATTGCTCTCCGTAAACACGAATGAAAGTCCTTGTCTTACAAGTTGATCTTCAGGTTGTCTATGGACACCAGTAGCGATCGTCAAATACAACAGGTAGTGCACAAAGTGTAGACCCACGTCCCGATTGTTATTAAATTGGTAGATAACCACAGTTAAAAGTGCTTGGGGGCTTCTTGGTCATCAATGAGAAGCATACCAAAGTCCACTCCCATTTGTTAGCTGCAAAGCCTTCTGTAACAGGTCAATAAGTAGAAATACTGTCGGTACAACGTATATCTCGACACGAAGAGCAGATTTTTTGATGCATTCTCATTGTGACCTTGCAAGTGTCCTTCGTCTCCTCTTGTAATTCCAACTTCCATCTGATGATCCTATTTGCATAATGTATGGTACAGTCCAACTCCTGTCCAAGGGAGCGGTCCAAAAAATAATCTAGAACTTTATGATGCCAGCAAGCTACCTGATATCTTTCAACATTTTTACATGTACAAGGTCTCACAGGATGCGCTTACCAAATCGCCTACTTCTCTGCTGGTAGGTGATCAGTGCAGCCTTGAATTGTTCTAAGTCGACGTCGGGCCAGAGTGTGTCTAAGAATACTAATTCAGAATAAGCCAATTGCCACAACATAAAGTTGCTTATACGTTGCTCTCCACTTGTGCGTATGAGTAAATCGGGTTCCTGTAAAGCTCCAAGCTCGTTCATGAATACTGTTCTTGTAATGGCAGCATCATCGATATCCGCAGGCTTCAGACGGCCTTCTGCTGCTTGTGCAGCGAGCTCCTGGCAAGCACGAACTATGTCTGCTCTACCGCTATAGCTAACACAAATGTTGATGATCATGCCGGTGTTATGTCTAGTACCCTCTTCTGCAATTTTGACTGCTGTTTGCAAGGAAGATGGCAAGCTGGTAGTATCTCCAATAAATCGCAGTTTGAACTTATGCCTGCCACCAATTAAATCATTGTACACTGCTTAGCACAACGATGATCTCAGCTCCAACAAGGCACTCGTCCTTCCACAGGATACTACAAATGTAGCAATCTTGCAAACACGCTGTAATTCCTTCTGACTCCAAACGTAGATCAGTCAACGAGTTAACAACGTAAAAAGCGGGTAGGAGGTACTGTGACTCACATCATAACGTTGGGCATCTCTGATTGTAGCTTTGTCTCAAACAGTTGCATTAGAAACTCGACCTCCATCTGCGCAAGTAACCTTGCATAAGGTAACGACCATCAAGAGCTATGCTACTACAACTAAACCAAGATGTGCGCAAAATTTGGACAAGGACTTCAAGCTAGTCCTTACAGTGTCACGAGTACTCAACTCCTCCTTTCGGTACAAAGAAATTCGTCCGACCTTGCTATGCGAGTATGACAATAGTTATGTTACGTTCAGGTCGACAACAATTTATGCCTGGCTTTTACACGCTGATAATGAGAATAATAACTAAAGTGATTCTGTAAAGTGCATTGAGCTGGTGTCAGTTTGGAAATCCTGCTGTTCTGAATTTCCTCTCTCGCTAACGAGCTAATTATGAAGGGATTACAAACGTTACGTTCAGGTCAGTGGAAGTTTAATCATGAGTTTTACATGTTGATAAGAGGAACAAGAGAGGAAAAACTGATACATGAATGTGCACTGAGATGGGGGTTGATTTTCAAATTATGATGTTCAAATTGTCTAGCAAGCAAATAATGAACAGGTGTAGAAAGCTTCTTCAGGATATAAGATGATGCAAATAACACAAACAACGGCCGACTGCTACGCCTGACTAAGTTTCCTGGTAATTAAAGTGAGATTCTTGTGTCATTGCGTAAGCACCTTCCCATAACGATATTTAAAAAAACTTGAAAACTCGATGACATTCAGGCATGAGTTTGGTTCCCGAACACAATATGCTCCTATTTAGGTGCATACTGAGTTCGAGAATTGTGTTCAAATTTCTTGCAGGTAATCCTGCTCATCGTCAGAAAATGATGTGTACAAGAGGCTGATCGTTCCAAAACCAGGTCGAAACATACCCGCGGGCGCAACCAATTCTCGGTGGAAAACGCAAAAACAGTCAAAACTTGTATGCCCCACGAGCTGGCAATCTTCGCAACTCTTCTCAAGGCTTCCGCTCCAGCTGCATGACCAAAACCTGCATGCATTCCTCTGCACTGGGCCCATCGTGAATTTCCATCCATAATAATTGCTACATGCTTGGGCATCAGCTCCGGTCTCAATTCTGATGGCAACACTATCTTCGGAGCACTTTCGCCTCTGCTCTTCGGATCGACAGGTGAGGACGAAACCTGCGGTTGAAGCCGACCTCCAATCGAGGTATTCGGTGATTCAACCCTACTTCCAAAATTTAACGAGGAGTGAGGCTGATCACCTAAACCCAAAACCCTCCTCGCCTTTCTAAAATTAGCTCGCCTCTTCGGCAGAATCGCAACCCAAAACTCTTCCTCTGCTCTCCGGCCATTAAGGTCAAAAATCCGATTGGACGAACCACCAGCAACACGCTCTCGAAGAAGCCATCTGCAGCTCGAACCTCGACCTGAAAACCCCGGTGCGCTCGTAGACCCCGAGCACGAGGTTGGTCTGAAGCAGTCTGATTGCATGTCCGGAGACTTACAGGTGACAAAATTCTGAACCCCGCTTCCATGTATGACCTTCGCGGCTCCCATAGCTGCTGCGACGTCCTACACCTCCTTCTCAGCTGCTCTCATCAGCCCATGAAATCGGCACCGCCTCAGCTATGGCTCACAGAATCTTCTCGATCGCATTCTTCCACATATTTGCGCACTTGTGCCTTCTTCAGTCTCGCAATCACAGACGCAGCAGACAGTGTGATGGCCGCTCGTTGCAATTGCTCGTGTGCCTTCAGGTCCCGTCCCAATCATACACATGTGGTGGCTGTCATCATCAAGGGTCCTGTTATTTTTCTCGGCCCCGGTGCCCCACCCCACCCCACACCCACCCTCCAGCCCGAGACAAAGCCTTTGCTTGGCAAAGTGCTGCACACATAAGCGCCAACGACCAGGACCCCCCGTTGAATGAAGACCGAGCGGTGTCCCCCTTCGGCTGAATGACATTTGGCTTCCGTCCAGGTTCAATATTTCTTCTACTCTCCCTTTCCATTTGCTTAAAATTTCTTCTGTATCTCAAATATCTCTATATCCTCAGCTAGGCTTTTGTTTATACGAGATATTTTGCTTTTTAGTGCGTCAGTACTAAAAAGCTTTATTTCATGCGTAAACTATGACATATTGAGTTCTGTAAAGATCAAATCAAGCTCTTTTTAGGGTGGAGTCTATTGCAAGATGTTAATAATACAGCTATTGTCAATATTCTAAAACTTTGAGAAACGCACACTGTCAGGGTCAAAAATCGCATTGAACAAGTTAAAAATGAATACAGGGTAAAATTCTTTTATGATAATGTATAAAGCAATTTAAAAGAAATAAATTCAAAATCTTTTAATTTTCATCTTTTATTCTTTACAAAAATATTTAATAAGATGTAATATTCCAATTCGTTTCAAGGTTTTTTTTTAATATACTAGTATATGCGTCTGAAACTCTCTTATGCTAGATTAATTTTTAAATTGTTCCAAGTTCTTAGAGATGGTATCACCAATGTAATTAAAACTTAAAAAAGTAATTCTACTTGAATCACTCTTTGTTCAACTACTAAAGTATTTTTCATTTCAATGTAGAGATGTATCAATCAAATCATTATTTTAAAGTCATTTTAAGACTTGTTTAGACAATAATAAAGCAGGAGCTAGTAGATGTTCAATGTAATCTTAGATAGATGTTACTTTATTTATACTAAGATTAGAAATAATTTACATATAATAATGTGTTTCTTAAGGTTTCAAATAGCCGATACTTGCAAATATGAATACAAAACTTATAAAACATTAATTATATATTTAAATTTGAGCTAATTAAAAGGACAAAGAAATTTGTATCCCTTTGAAAGAAGACATTCATATTTATTTATTTATTGCAACCTATGATTTTTCATTTTTTCATTTTCATCTTGAAATATCGATATGTAATATAAATAAAACTCGTAAAAATTTATTTCATCCTCATCAGAATGTAAGAAGGTAAATTTTGCAACCAGAATGAAATTTACACAATCCACCATTTGATTTCAAATCACATTGGTTAGTGGATTCAAGTAAACAAAAACTATACACATTTGATGATTTGTTGATAAATTCAAAATTACTTAACATAGAAAATTAAAAATAACCCAACATTATTTTTTCCATATTCATGTCTTTTTTATACCAATTTAACGATCGATTATAATTTATGTAGTTTGGAATAAATATACGTTTAATATTTATCAATGTAAAAATGAAATGATAAAGTCAAAACAATATATAAGAATATACTAATGTGTCAACAAATAGTTCGACGGTTTTTATTTCACCGTATCTCACTCTGTGGTAAAAGTGTAGTTTTCTCATCTTCAATAAAAAAGATGCTCTCTAGGCAATCAATTTATTTGTGATCACCATCATGTGCTGATTTGACATAGATTATACATCAGTTTGAGCGTAATTTGTATAAGACAAGCGAATGAGATTTTCACATTTAATTTTTCTGTAGAATATTATTTACTGTTCAATTTGACATGTGATTTTAGATTAAATTCTAGACTAAACTTGTGAGTTTGAATATTAACAAGAGAATGTTCTTCTATTTTAAAATTATAGAGTTACTAAAGATCTTTAGTAATCTTGCAATGAATCTTATTCATGAATTTCATATTTTTTTATAATTTGGTGTATATTTGATCAATATTAAAATTATTTGCAAATTTATCTGATTGGTTTTCACTCTATACATTTTGACTACATAATGCATTAAATTTGCATCCAAAGGTTTGTTTTTTTAAGACTATGATTATACTAGAAATGAAGATAATATTCTTCATTACAAGAAATATTAATTAATTTATATCTTGTATTTTAAAATAGTTTTGCAATTCTTGGTGAATAACTTCTTTGAATTAAATGATGGATTCTTATACTACATTAAATGTGAGGATTTTAAACAATAAAGGAGCATAGAAATTTTTTTACTCCTATTGGTAATCCAAGTTCTTGCTACTACAAACATACATGCTTAGGTTTGGAAGTGTTAAAACGTTTTTTTATTTGTAATGGTTGCTTTTTTTACAAAACTGAGATTCAAACTTGTGTGGTCCTACCTCATGTGCATTAGTTGCTTATTTTTCTTGTTATCCATAAAGATGTCAAAACATTATAACTTATTATGTGGTGAAAGATGTCGTGATTAAGATAGCAGAAAATGGGTAGATACATTTCTATCTCTGATTCCAAAGTATTATCTTATATGATCATTATCTAATATTGCACATGACATATTTTCACATATGGTGGTAATATTTCTACTTATATGTACAACAAATGTAGCAACAATCCCATTTAAATAAATAATTAAATACAAATATTTTGACTTCATTGTTCTAGTTTTCTTTAACAACTTCAACATGGTGACCGGAGGCCACCAAACTCGTACACAGTTGGTCTCATTCTTTATAGAGTGTAATATAATCTATTTGGAATGAGTATCACTCTAAAGTAGCACAAACAGGTGATAGTCCATCTGACTCACTTCCGATTTCTATACCGTTTTCTATATATATATATATATATATATATTGATTTCAATAGTACACAATGATGCTATTAAAGCCTACACCGTTTTGACTTGTTTGATTTGATCGAAAAATTCGTTGACGTCGTATTTGATGATATTTTGTTCCTTCCTGTGCACTCAAGTAAGCAGGGGCTCTTAGTAATCCAGTGACTCGGAGTCTGAAAACTGACCTTCACGTTGTCCACTCATAGCCGACAAACGGACCGTCATCTTCACAGACCGGCCGAATTTACGCTGACGCAGAATTTCCCAGAACCGCGTAATGGGCGGCACGTATGTCAACAGAGAGGAAGAAAACATGGGCTGCTCACACCGTCAACCGGGCCACGGCTTACGCAGTCGTACTCCTGCCGTATAAGCCGTCATGCTGTCCAAGGCTGACCGCCGTATGTTGAAGTCAACGTACATATAATTTTACAACGTGAATTCAGGGTTCGGTACTCCACGAATATCAGATCGTATACCACGCTTTTCATCATTATCGGTGGGGTTGGGAAGTTCTGCGCGCGATCGATCCGAAATTTCACTCTGGGTCGCGGTACAGTCGATAATGAGATTGCAGTCATTCGTGACTGCCAAAAGCTGCGGGGAGGGAGATACCGGGAGCGCAGGCGGTCTCGAGAGCAGACGATCTGCTGCTGGTAGCGTTTCGGATTTTCGACTTTTAGCGAAGGTTCTGTTCAGAATTGGTCTCAACCGTCATGGACAATTGTGGTTGTGCATTGCTTCTCGAATTCGAGTGCCGAATTGGGGATGATCCTGGAGCCATTACAGCTCCAGGCGAGCAAGTGCGCGACGATTTGCTACGACTATCTCGCACCTGGTGCTAGTCAAATAGAAATGATCTGTGGAAGAAACACTTGAACGAGAATTGGATATTTCCGTGGAAAGCTTTGGTCTGTCCGGTGTGTTATTAAGGATATACGGAAATTCAAGCCACGTTATGCAACTCGAAGCACGTCCTGTCGGCTAGGGAGCATTGCGTGCACAAGAATGTTGGGCGTCGTGGATTGAAACTGACAAGATTTCGCTGCTGGTGACATTCTCCCGTGTCCTACTGTTATCAGCTATTTTTATGAGGTCTTCATGAAAGTAATCTTCCGAAAAACACAACGTGAATACTGACGGGCTGCCTCCAATGGAAAGCGAAAAATGGAGAACTGGACTCCCTATGGAGGTCACGCAGAAGATTTTCAAGCGCATGTAAGTTCACCCTTCATCGTTTGTTGTTTACAAGAGTTTGTAATCAGCAATTCGTGTCCCTCATCTCACCAAGTTACGGTCCTCTCACGTTGTATGGCTGTAATTCATACCTTCCACTGCAGAGTGGATACTCTTCAGACACACCTGCCGCCTTCTATACAGGAAAGTAAGGGGGAGTTGTTGAATATAGCGTGGCGTTTTGAGGAAATTATTTTTACATGAAGCAACGGACGAGGCATTGAATTAACTATTTATAACTTCTCCTATTTCTCCATTACTAGCACCCTGCAGCCGACGGTTTATTTTACTCTAGTTTGGTTCAGTTGGTTGTGTTCATTCAGGCATATCATTTACAACAATTTTAGAACCAAGAGTTTGTCATTGTAAATGCCGCAAGGGAACTGATTCATGGTGAGAGGTTGACACTGGGTTTTACTCCTGTAATCACTTTATCGTTGTTGGCTGTTTCAGTTTACAGAAAGGTATGATCTTTGTCTTGTTGTCTTTGGATTGAAGTGAGCGAATCTTTCATGATTCCAATTCACTTATATTCTCTTATTGTCTCGGTTGGCATCACCTTGCCAAGGCTTCAAATTTGAAGGCTTTGGATTGCTTTTGGAGAGACTAGGCTGATGAAACACCTGCCTCTGATTTTGCAGCAAGATTACTTGACAAGAATATAGTTCAAGATGCTTTCTTTGGAAGCATCGGCAGTCCCAACTCCTTTGAATGACATGACAAGACTCAGGGATTCGTTGGAATCAGGTAGGAGAACTGTCATGACCTTGCCCATCCTCTCTCTAGGTTAAGGACATGTCTGATGTCTCTGATGACATACCTTTACTTACGGGTCCGAATGCAAAGGTATGAGACGATTTACAGAGGTTGTCAAATTTGTCGTGTTTCTTTGCTGCAGCAATAATCATGCAAAATGAGCCTCAGGAAGAGCAGCAGCAACACCAACAACAACAACAGGATCAACAGCAGCAACTTCCGGTGAAGTTTCTTGTCCAGCGCTGAATTTCTTAGCTCGGCTGTGAAGAGGACGTCAAATCGGAATTTGACGTGTTTGATGCAATTTCCAACTGCGATGATTTTTTTTTGTAGTACACTGACTTGAGTCTTTACTCAATGTGTGATAAGACTGGTCACTAATTTACATCCTTCGAGTCCTATCTAGCTTGACACATCTCCAATCAGTTGATGATTTACTGGGCTTTTGTCAAGCCGCAATTGTGATATTATCCTTATCCTTGTGTTGAGACTGTTGAACTAATAGTCTTAATATTTTAATTATGACATTCATATTCACTTCAAGACATAATTATCATTCATTATCCAAATACATGTGAATGTGTTACAATTAGATCATGGTAGTTTGCACTTTATCAGCTGTTTTATTTACCATGGTTGATAGAAGCTTATAAGAACACAATGCCATAAATTCGAAATATTTATCAATTGATTAGAATTAAGTTAGCTTGTGCATGACAACACAATTTGAAGATAAAATGTACATGATAGCAAGTGATAAAATAATGGACGGCTTAAGCATATTGTTAACTGGTTAATTCGTAGAAAAAGTACACCATGCATAACATGAAGATACAAACTATAGAGTAGTCTATAGTGATCAACTGTTGGTAGTGAGTGATATCTAACTTAATTGGGTTCAGAGGTAGAAAGGAGAGGGCTCTCACTGAAGGGTAGGGTAATTAATCATCAATGATTTAAGATATGTTTGAATCAACTATGGATGCACGGTCATTCAATCAATTTAAATTCAATCAACATGGAATCAAATCAATCAATAGGGTTTATGGTTGATTGATTTGATCTCACTTGAATTGTTAATTTCACATGTATCAAGTCTATATGAGAGAGAGAAAATTAAGTTCTTGGATAAATAGTAGTAATCATAGATGTGATACTATTTTCCACTTTGCAAGTGATAAATTCTATGAGTTCCTATCGTAATCAGAATTCAACGAAAGTTTAGGAAACAAATGGGTCCGTATAGTACGAATAATCTCAAAGATAGCCAAATGTTCGTCCATGGGCTGTGGTTTGCATAAATTCGTTCTAGGTTATTACTTGATTTCTCAATTTATGGTGTTGCATGTGTGATTGCTTGGTGGGAGTGAGATTTGGAGACATTAGTTGACCACTCTTCGGACTGTGGAGTCCGGAGGATGATAAAGAATCACCACTCAAATTGTCCAGAATCTATTCAGATCTCTTCTTGTCTTGGGACCGAACTTTATTTTTACTTGATGGCGCGGCCTGGGCTGTTACACATATCTTAGACATATGCAACGATCTCATGGCATCTCAGAATGCCATTTCTCGATGCGTCTTATGGTCAAGGCTGGGCCAATCACATATATTCCTGCAATTTTCGAAGCCAGATCTCACCCACCGTATCAACTTTACTCACTCAGAGCTTGCGGGTTGCTGTGAACTCTTCGTACTCGATCGACCCCAGGCAAAAAGAGGACAGGGAGAGGTGGCTGGAGGCTGCTCGCATCGGATGATCGCTGGCAAGCATTCAAGCATGCGGTCCCTCGACTGCGCAGAGCGGGAAGTGCTCGCTGCTCGATCGCCCGCCTCACGCTGGGCCCTCCGCACCATCTCCCCAGACTCCCCTGGGTTCCGCCGAGGAGCCCAGATCAGAGACTCCACGCTTCGAAAGGACGTGCCTTCGACATGATCCCAGCGGTCCTCTGCGAGAGCCGCAGCTCCCATCTCTCTTACTCCCGCTCGGGTTACAGACAGTCGCTACGCTGCCCAGATGTTAGAGGTCCATGCAAAAGCCTAACTTATAGTCTCTGTAGGAATCCTGGCGTGCCTTATGGGTTCTCGTTCCGTCTTGGAGGTCAATGTGGCCATATTCAGGATAGCTGTTCATCAGATGTATACTTTGATAGTGTTTGGATCTTTCTATGTAACTAATGCCTTTCCGTGGATTATATACAGCACAAACTAATACTCTGATCAAGGCTTCTGGATAGGGATGATATTATTATTTGTATAACTCCGCCAGGTATTTCTGTAGCGCCGCAGGCAAAAAAATTTCTCAACCGCGTTTTCACGATCTGTAGCTCAGAATCTGCAGACCCTTCCTGGGCTTAGTGGGGGGGGGGGCGTGCCCCCCCTGCCCCATCAGAGATGTGATATTGCTCGTAATATATCAATCAATATCATGATGTAACGATGGTATAAGCCATGACAGACCAATCTTAGAGCCTATCGTGGTTGATCACAGTTTATATATTTGGTTTGCTAGCTAATAATGCAGTTATGTTGAGAGCGCTGCTCAATAATAGGATTGTGGATATTCTATTGCAGACACTGCTGAATTGTATGAGTACGAGTTTCTGTGTTTGCTTTGATGACATGCAGCTCACATTGAGAGCCAATCAGGCATCGGGTCTGCAGATTCACTTTCTCCTGGCTTTGCTGTCCGTAAGTTTGTATAGGTTCAGCTTTGAAAGCTCCCGTGGGATAAAAGGAATGTGCACGATGAGAAAATCAGGTCTCAATAATTATAGTCAAAGGTAGTTCTTTTCGATCTCATTCCTGCTAGGATGCAGTGGACAAAATTTTCCGCGGCCAATAATCATATCCACTGTTCCAGGCATGGTGCAAAAACAGAGTGCTAAGTGCTGTTGTGAAAATTTGGCTCATCTCCCTGATCACTCTCGAGGAACGGAAATAAAGCAGAAAATTTTCTGAATGGTCAGAAGGAATCACTTTCTCAAGGATTTGGCCTCGGCCTGTGTTCACCAAAATGTTCTCATATCTATGAAAGAATTCGAACTACCCTCACATGCCGCGGAAGAACACCTATGTTAAGTCAATAATTCAATGCCTCCGATAGTCAAGGCTTAGCCACCATAAAGTTTCCTGCACTTTCCAAAGCCAAATCTCACCTTGTAAACATTACTCACAGATTGCAGTCTCCGGTATGCTCATCATATTCGACCGCAAGCGAAAAGAGATTAGAGAGAGGTTGCAGGAAGCTCCTCATGTCGGATGATCACTGACAAGCACGCGATCCCTCGACTGCGCAGAGCGGGAAGTGATCGCTGCTCGGTCGCCCGCCTCACGCTGTGCCCTCCACATTATCCCCCAGACTCCCCTGGCTTCCGCCGAGGAGCCCAGATCAGAGACTCCACGCTTCGAGTGGACGTGCCTTCGACATGATCCCAGCGGTCCTCTGCGAGAGCCCCAGCTCCCATCTCTCTTACTCCCGCTCGGGTCACAGACAGCCGCTACGCCGCCCAGATGTTAGACACCCCCGCAAAAGCATGTCTAATTGCCTCTGAATGAATCCTGGTGTGCCTTATGGTTTCTCTCTCAGTGTTGTACCAATGTTGCCATGTCCAGGAGAGGTGTTCATCAGATGTAGTACATATTCTTATTCCTTGATGATGTATAGATCTTTATAGATCTTATAGATCTTTGAAAGATCTATACATCATCAAGTGCAAGATGCAACAACTGCCTTTCCGTAGATCAAATTTAACACAGACTAAAAGCTTGCAGAGTAATGATGTGACATTAGTGTCAAGCTCGAAATCACTGTGGTCCAGCGGACATATGCGGAGACATTCGTGAAGTTTTTTGGCTCATGCAGTAGTGAGCACGCGATTTCTTCCACCTTGGTGGAAAATGAAGTGATTTGACTCAAACGAAATATTTCATGTTGTTTGATATGCTGTATATCCAGGATCACAGATCGCAGGGAATTATGTATGCGTACAATAATAATCGGTCACTACAACTAGGGGCCGATACTGTCACAAATTGCTTGGAAATCTGGAAAACTTAACGCCACATCAAGTAAGCCGTATACGGAAGGTCAAACTCAACCACGTTTGGACTGAGTTTGGTAGATGAACTCTTAGCACATGCCATTCCCTCTAACGCGATCGGGTTTCCATCATTACTGAACTTCATTCATACCACAAGAGGAACAGTTTCGGGGTTCCTCTGAAGCCATTTTAAAGCTCAAATTATTCTCGAGTTTGATGTTGATTTCAGTTGATTTCAATTGATCCATCAGAATAGGTTCCTCTATTGAATATTTTGATTCTTTCTGAAAGGCGCTGATGGATCAGGTCAAAATCTGTTAAATGAAAGTTCCTCCGTGATGTAAGTCGACGATTCTATACCATTCAAAGCCATAATGGTCTCGTCCACATAAATTGCAAACACGGCAGAGGAGCCGCCATTCCATACGAATAATTCTTGTTATATATTGTGGACTCAGCAAAGCCCATTAAAACTACGGAGAATATTCCCAGACACCATACAAACGTTTTGGGGGTGGCTGGGCATATGATGAGGTGGATCTAACTCACAATGTGAATACTGACCAGGGTAAGCATTGTGCGCTCTCCTGAACTGAACATAAGAGAATATAAGCAACAATATCATCTAGTACTCGACGACATGTGGGTGGGAGAAGTAATACAAAGAGCTCGACTTTCAGAGACAACAGTCATGACCTCATTACGTTTCTGGACTCAAATTAAAAGATTTGTTTTGTTCTTGTGTATTAGAATTCATTTGTACTCCTTTCCACGACCGCAGCAGTATATTCCTCATGTTTGGGGACTCAGTTTTCTTGTATGGTTCGGTGGGCTTCTATCCTCCACTTAGTCCGAGCTTCATGGATGTCATTGCCAGAACAGCCAAAATGCTCCCATTCGACTAAATTAGGCGAAAATTAAACCGAGCTAGGCCTTCTGGTCTGTTTAAGATTTTATGCCCAGCGAAATTTTCCCACATCAAAACCGCAAAAACCCGAAGAGCTCAGAAACATCTCATCTCAAGAGTTTGGAGCACCCGAAAACAGGTACATATAATCTGGGCAAATAACAATCCAGCTGAAAAGTAGTCCTCATCTAGTGTTCTGAACAATAGAATAAGGATCTGCAGTTTCGAACGAATAAAATCATCGGTTCCATAGGAAAAAAAAGGCAGAGAGGGGTGGCAGGAGGCTGCTCACGTCGGATGATCGCTGGTAAGCATTCAAGCACGC